ATCATCATGGGGCCTGATATTTAGCACATATGTATGTTTGCATGTGACCATCCAATTCCTGTTCCAGAAGATAAGAAAATCAGGATGCAGTAAACTACTCTCTTTTTTTTTTCAACTGAATTAATTAGAATAGTATTCTACATTTGGGTGATGTTTTAACATTTACAACATGCTTTTATAGACATCACTTCAACAACCCAATGGAGACTGGCAATTGAGGAATTATTATGCCCATTTCACAGATTAAAAAACAGGAGGCCCAGTGACCCGCTTAAGGTCTTTCACAATCAAAAAGTAATGGAGTTTGGTCTTAAAGACATTAGATTCCAAACCGAAGCCTTCCCACTACTTAGGATTAAATCCAATATACCTTCACATAATAGTAAGACAACCATCAATATTTTTTCAGCTCTTACAATGGACTAGGTACTAAGCGCTCGGCATATATCCACATTTGATCGTTACAACAAGCCCATGAGGTTGTGCCATTATTATCCCCACTTTACAGATGAGGAAACTGAGACCTAAAGAGGTAAAGTGACTTGCCCAAATCACCTGGCTAGTTAATGGTAGAGCCAGGGTTCAAACCCAGGCAAGTAGCACTAAGGAACATAAGCTCTCAACCACTTTGCCATACTGCCACTTCAACAAAAGCAGAGGTGCCTGCTCTATACAAGATGGCTTGTAGCTGCCCAGAACCCTCCAGCTCAGTAAGGACTGAACTGATTTAACAACACCAACTACAAAGGACTATCCAATAATTTTTCTTGTTGTGGAATTTGGTCATACAAAGATTGCCTAAAATAAGCCTGGGCTTACTTAACATCTTATTAAACTTTACTGACAGTTTTATTGTAACAATAATTGTAACTCAGTTTGACCTATTCTGAAAGACACTACTGCTTGCTTAGCCAACAGCAGTTCCCCAGCCCCCTACTACACACACACAGGCACATGCACACGTACAGACACCTCTCCATTGCTCCCGTGATGTCAAAGCCCACCTCCCGTTATAGGGAGTGAAGGGTGCAGATACCAAACGTACACGTTTCTAGACTCTTTTGCAGCTAAGTCCCAGGTATAGGATCTAATCCTGGCCAATGGGATCTGAAGGGAAGACTGATGGGGGCCTCCAGGAATGGTGTTCCCCCATGATAAAAAGAAATGCAGGAAGAAACACCACCTCTTACATGGTGGATGTGTTAGTACTTGACTGACATTCAGAACTACTACAGCCACCTTATGATCAGGACTATAAATGACAAAGGTGACGTGTTGAGGTGGCAGAGTGGAAAGATGGAAAGTACCTAGGTCCACGCAGAGCTGCTGAACAACTCTGAACCTACCCTACCTCTGGACTTCTCGTTAGGTAAAATAATAAGCATCCTTATTATTTAAGCCACTTCAACTTGGCTACTGTCTTATTTGCAGCCTAAAGCATCCTAATTCTCAAGTCTCAGGAGGCAGCTGCAGAGAAGAAAGGGCTCTGGATTCGGAGTCAAATGACATGGCTTCTAATCTACTTACTTGCCAGGTGACTCAAGTTGTCTAATATCTCTGAACCTCATTTTCTACACCTATAAAATTGAGATAACACTCAAGAACACAATAATATCAATAAAATGGAGATAACAGGACAGGAATGAAAATCACATGAGATAATGTGTATACCACCACTCTGTTAACAGCAATGTTTTACTCAAAGGTAATTGGTCTAGGTAATAGTTAAACTACAGACTTTTTAAACTGGAGCCATCCATTCTAACCCAACTCCCTTACTTTACAAAATAAGAAACATTGATTCCGAATGTCAAATGACTCACTCAGTGTCACACAACTGGTTAGTAACACAACTAAATCATGTATCTCCTGATTCCCAGCCCAATGCTGTCATGCTACCCTCATGCTGACAGGTAATGAGCTACATTAAATACTGGGCCGGTAGCATTCATTCGTTCAACAAGTATTTACTGAACACAACTATATGCCAGGTTCTGCTCTAGGTACTGAGGACTCCTTGAACAACTACCACAACAAAAGTTCCTAACCTCATGAATTTAACAGCCCAGACAGAAATTATTCAATCTACATCTATAAATAATTATTAAGTGCCTACTGTGTACTAGGCACAGTGCCAGGATTTCTATTCAAATACAAGTACAAATTTCCAGGCAATTCCAATAATAGCAACCATGTTTACCAGGATTTGCTAACAAAGAAATAATGTAAAAAGTCTATATTTTACTCAATAAGAGTCAGTATTAAAAATGGCAAGCTCATTAGAAGGAGTTGTGAATACCCTGCCAGCAACTGAAAACGTGGATGGAATGGGGAAGATGGCTAGGACTCCGCTCTACTTGAAGCAGCAAGACTGAACGAAAGAGGTGAGAGCTAAGCCATGTCCTTCCACAGTCTCCAGACTTCAAGGGTTGGCTCAGTTGGAAAAAACCAATAGGGAACATTTAGCAACTCCCCCTCCCCAAGGCCTCTGTCTGATGCCCTAGACTCTCCTTTTGCTCCCAATCTGGTTGGAATTCCTCTTCCACTCTACCTAAACATTCACATGCAAATGACATAATGGGACAGCATCCTAGATCCTATGAAGAGCCACAGCAAGTGACTCTTGGCATCTCCTACTGGAACTGGCTATCAGGCTGCTGACACTGAACCATTATATTGTTTGTTTGAAAGGGGTTTTTTTGTCAATAACCACCCAAATTATATAGTTTGGAAAAGAATATTTAAAAGCCATTGTTTTGCAAAAAAAAAATCCATAACTCACATTTTGTGTGGGTTACAGAGGGAAGATCTGTGTAACAATCTACACTCTCTTAACTTTGTGATTCCCTAAAATGGAGGAAAATGGCAAGCAAGAAAGGAAAGACAGGTGGATTCCCCAGGGCATGTACTGGTGACTCCAAAAGCTTCTTTTTAAAAAAAAAAAAAAATCATTTTGTCCTCACCCTAAACAAACAAAGTTTTTTGTGACCTTATGCTCAGAAGTGTAACATCAATTCCCAGGTTGAAATATTCTAGGAAGGTATAAGGTCCAAAATTATCAAAATAAAATCTTTTAATTCATTTTAATTGGTTAAATGATAACCACCATGTGCCTCCAAATAAAACACTTGATTTTCTTAAGCAATGCCAAAATCAACATTTTGGAACACAGCATTTTAACCTCTTTGGCATCAGTTGGGCCATACAAACTATAACATTCCAAATTGCTATTAGACTGGCTACAATTTATTGTTTCCCAGAACACCAGGCAATGCATACATGTCCTTTGGGGACTATTTATCTATTCTAAGGAAGACTTCCTACCCCAAAGGGAAAAAAAAACAGTGGTGTCAACTCCAAGTGGGAAAGGACAGGGCAGAGAGAGGGCTGAGAGAGCCCAGGAGAACTCAACAGCTCCACTCTCTGCCACTGGTCCCTTCATTATCTACATATTCAATATGGCTTAAAGTTCTTGTATACCCACTTTAGGACTTAAAGCAAAATGCACAAACTACTCTCTCTGAATCACAAGACAGTACATGCCAAATGTTTCTGTGCAACCCTGTGGCAACAGAAAAACTGCCTATCCTGCTAATCCTTTTATTATTAAGTTTAGCAGCAATGCTTAGCCCAGAATGAAATTCAAGATCCTCCAGAAAAGTCAGTGGGAGCCTACTTTCCTGGGAGGTCATGGGGCACCACATTCCTCCCTTGAAACTTATCCAGTTGTCAGCTCACAAATTAGTTGTCACTGTCCCTATGTCACAAACTCCCACAAGAAAAGAAAAATAAAGGGGGGGGGGGAAGACCATTCATTCATTCATTCATTCATTCTTGGTTAACACAGCCCAGAGGCAGATTCTTGCCCCTGGGAGACGCTGCTTCCATTCATCTCTCACCAGAACAGGGGTAGGGTGCCCAGTATTTTTAAAACAGCTCACTCTGTCCTGGAGCTTCAAGACTCAGGTATGTGAGAAGAGGAAATCAGAGAGATAAATAAGTAAATAGATTTAAAAGTCAGAAGCCAATGGTGCTGAACCCTGACATGACCTTTCCAGGTTGTATGCCCCAAATGGGTCTTGGGACAGGACACATACCTGCCTACATACACATGCACTGAAAGCACACACACACACACACCGCTGCAGCTCACACTAGATATACTGCAAGCCCTAAGGCACTTACTACCCGAGGACGGGGTTGCCAACAAAGCTGCCTTCGCCCAAACAACTGTGGCCTTCTCCAACTTGGACGAGAGCAAATGTCCACCAATATCCCAAAGGGCGCTTTTTCCCGGAACCCAGGTCCTGCAGGGTTCCCTCCCTGCCGGCCTCACAGCCCTTTTCTTTTCTCTGAAACACTCAGATTTCACACGATTCCTTTCGAGGTAGCTCCAGTCCGCGCAGCGCGCGCCCCATCCCTTAAGGCTGGAGCCCGGGGCTGCCTGGCCTCTCTTCAATCCCGGGAAACTTCGCCGCCGCTCCACGCTGAGAAGTAAAGGCCACCGGTAGAGGGGAGGCAGGGAGAGGGAGCAGGTCCCTGGGCACCTTCGGAGCCCGGGAGCCGGAGAAAGAAATGAGTGAACCCAGGCTGGTGTATGCCTTCTCCACGTGGAGGAAGGGAGGAAGGAAAAAGTGGGCGACATGCAGGTACCTCTCTCGGCTCTCAGAACTCATATATCCCGACGGCGTAGGGAACAGAGGGGTTAGAGTCCCCCAGGAGGCAGCTGCCCTGCGCCCCCAGCCTAGGCGCAGCGAGACTTGAGCGCAGCGTGTAAGCCAGGGGAAGGGGCCCCGGGAACGCAAAGCGCGCGCCTGGTGCCTGCGGGGCACAGTGCCCCCATCCCTGGGTAGGGCTCCCAGTCTCAGGGGGCGAAGGAAGAGAAATGTGGCTTTCTAGCAGGCCCCCGGCTGGGTTCCTCGCCCCTGCTGGCGCACGCCCACCCGCAGAGGCCCCCCAGTCCTGCGCCCGGCGTGTAGTCCACTCCCTCGCCCCAGCACCTGGATGTGGCAGGAGATCTCCGAGTCGTCCAGCAGCCGAATGGTGCATTTCATCTCCTGGCTGAGCGATTTGATGCTGGAGCTCCGAAAGTGGATCATTTTCATGGTCCTCCTGCCTCTCGGCACACAGTGGCAGGAGGCGAACATGCACCGCGGCCAGTGGAAGCGAGCGAGAGGCTCCGGGGCGGGGCGGCGCGGCGCTCGCCCGCGCGGACACACACACTCGCTCACGCACAGTCCTGGAAACCCGGGCGCGGCTCAGCCCCGGGACAGCAGCGGCGACGGGCGCCTGCGGCCACACACGCCGAGCGGCCGGGGCGCGGCAGGCGGGCCCCTCCCTCTCCTCGCTCCCCTCCCTCCGCTCCCTCGCCTCCGCCTCGCCCGCTCCTTTCCCCGCCTCCGCCTCTCGCGCGCGCTCCTGCGCCTCCCTCCGCCCGGGCTCGCTTGCAGAGGATACCCCGAGCCCGCGACCCCCGGCTGGCGCGCGACGTACTCACTCCCACTCGCGAGGAGCCGCGGCAGGAGAAGGCGGAGAGAGGGCTTATGCTGGTGGCCGGGGCGCCCCGGCAGTGGCCTGCTCCGCCGCCGCCGCCGCCGCCTCTGCGTCAGGCTGGGCCCGGCAGCCTCCTCCCTCTCCGGCCGCGATCACTCTGGCTCCTGGTCGCGCACGTCCCTGCCCCGGCTCCCCCAGGCGCCCGACAGCGCCCTGCTCCGCTTGGCCCCAGGGACCTGGCGGTGGGCGGGGGGTGGAAGGCGATCCTGACCTACACCCGCAAGGAGGATTCCCCTGCGGGAGAGGATTACTGGACCAAGAGCGAACCCCGAGAGTGACATGAGGCCCTTGCCCGGCTACAACGGCAATAAGGCTAACAGTCACAATCCCTGGTACTCATGGGGATTTTTGTAAGCCTTTATTTTATTTAATATTAACTGAGAGTCAATCTCCTTCTCTAAGAAATTCAGAACCTTCCTTAAGCAATTTCTCTTTTTTGTCTCCCAACATTTCACTTCGATCTCTGGTAGCAGGACCTTAGACCCGAGCAAGAGGGTCCTTATCCTGCCCTAAGGGGGACCCTTAAGGGACTTCACTCCAGTATGAAAACTACAACTGGGGTTGAATCATCTCTCCCAACCCAAAGAGCAGATCTAAGATAGCCTAGAGATCAAAGAAAAGTCACCACACAAGACAATCCAAGCTTTTCTTTTAAGGCTACATACTTGTCTCTTCTTACTGTAGCAAGCTTTCAGCTCCAAAGGAGTCAAGCTCAATACCCCAAAATTGTAATCTCAAATTTCAGGGAAGTCGAATAAGGACACTAGGGAAAAGGACAGAACAGAGGTCACCCAAAGTGGGATTGCAAACAACAGCATTTTGAGGAAATGAGAAGAATCTGAGATTGGCTATCTGGTCCGGTTTGGAAGGCTGAGATTCAACAAGTAGAATGTGGGCTTGGGAAGCCCTTGGAATACATGAAAAACAGCTGGGGAAATGACCACATACAGTCGCCTGGAGTGAAGTACCCATTGAAGACAAGGCTTTGGGAAACTGAATGGCCACGGTCACGGAATAAAATGAAGAGCAAGAGGAATTCAAAGAATGAACTCAAGAGGTGAGCTTAAAACTGGGCCACTTAAAGAAAAGCAATGACACACTGAGTCCTAAATTCTCAGCTTACAACTTTTTAAAAAAGCTGTATTCTTTCTATGACAGAGCTAAAAGAATTTTTTATTAATTGAACCACAAGGCTAAAAAGCAAACTCAAAATTTTTTCTACAAGTTGCCAAATTACAAAGTCAATTGAATTATCAGCCTCACCGGATTTCATGTGTGAGAGATAATTATCATCAGGAAAGATTGGGAATCTGGGACTAGAAATGGGGCCATAAAGGAGGATTTGGTTAATTCCTAGTAACTCAAGCCCCCAAGTCCCTCTTGACAGCAGAAGCAAAGCCTCTTCCCTTATCTAAAAAGGCTGTTCCTGCATTGTTTGAAGACCCTATTCCGACCTCACCTGAGGCAGTTACCCTGGAAAGGGAAGACAATCTCCTTGCCACCTCTTGCCCACCACCTCTGACTACTCTCACTCTTAATACTTGAATCAGATCCAGGCACCCGTGGAAAGCCAGTTACAAAGTCAACCCCAGGAAGAGAAAGAATTACAAGGTTTTGCTAATTTAACTTGAAAAGTATGTGTGTAAATAAACCTAAAGTTGTTGATTTGAGTGCACTTTTCAGTGACTCTGGTATCAATGTACCATCTAAATAAATTGACTGACTCTTGGACTGAGCTAAATGAAAATGAGAAGGAAGAAATCCCCCAATATTTGTATAGGAAAAAAAATCCAAAGAATCAAGGAGAAGGAAATACTGAAGTGGATGCTCATATGTAGCCAGTTCACCTCTCTCGTAACCATGAGTCCTCAGGGGGCCTCCACCACAGCTTTGGGAGAATCATTGCTGAAGGAAGCACGGCCATCATTGAAAAGTACCACAGTGTTCGTTCCCTGTGACCAGGGGTGCTTTGAAAACCTCTGCAGTTAAAAGGAGCTCCCTGATTTAAATGGAGATGATCGGAGCCTGGATTAGCAGAGGACAAATAGTGGTACTTAACTTTCGGTGCCCAGCAGGGCACGGAGACAGTCATGAGCCGTGGGACCCAAATGACTTCAGAGTGATGTGACCCACAGGAATTTGCTGATCACTAGACATCCAACTAAGGTCCTATTTGGTCTGTAGAACAGATAAAATTTCTAGGTCTAATAAACAAAAGCCTGACTAAAACTCCCCTCCAAAAATTTCCAAATCTGAACCTGTCCCTACAGACAACCAGAGGCATTTGAGTAAATGAAAAATGGATCCACCTGAGGAGTGAGAACACTGGCCACAGCAGAGAAGAACTGGCAAGGTCCAGTTCCTAATAAAGAAGTAGCGGTGGGAGAGATGTCTCATGCTCAGTGGTAGAAGCTGCTGCTCCTTACTGAAAAATTCCCAACCCATGGGTCACAGCACTTGGATGAGCCACAAATGGAAAACAGGTGGCCTGGCCCCAAAAGCTTGATGGTCATAAATACTGTGCACTGGGTTTTAAAAAAGATTTTTAAGCATTTTTACAGCCATTAAAATCGATGATTGAAAGAGAAATACTTAGGTATAAATCTAACAAAATATATACACATTCTGTATAAAAACTTTGATAAAAGAAATCAAAGAATTAAATAAATGGAGAGATATTCCATGTCTGTGAGTGGAAAGACTCAACATTGTTAAGATGTCAGTTCTTCTCAACCTGATCTATGCAATGCGATTCAAATCAAATCCCAGAAAGTTATTTTGTAGATATTGACAAATTTATGCTAAAGTTTATTTGGCAAGGCACAAAACCCAAAATAGCCAACACAATACTGAAGATAAACAAAGATGGAGACTGACACCACCTGACTTTAAAACAGTATAAAGCTACAGTGATCAGAACAGTGTGGTACTGGTAAAAGAATAGACAAATAAATTAATAGAACAGAATAGAGAGCCCAGAAATTGACCCACACAAATAGAGTAAACTGATATCTGACAAAAAAGCAAAGTCAATCCAATGGAAAAATAATAGTTGCTGTTGTTGGTTTTTTGTTTTTTTTTTACTATCCTTTTCATGTGCTGGAACAACCTGATATCCATATGCAAAAAAAATAATCTAGATACTACTCATAAAAATTAACTCAAAATGGGTGATACAGCTAAATGTAAAATGTAAAACTATAAAACTTCTAGAAGATAATGTAGGAGAAAATCCAGCTAACTTTGAGTTCGGTGATGACTTTTAGTTACAACACCAAAAGCATGATAAGTTGGACTTGATTAAAATTAAAAACTTCTGCTCTGCAAAAGACACTGTTAAGAGAATAAGATAAACTACAAACTGAAAGAAAATATTTGCAAAACACATATCAGACAAAGGACTTGTATCCAAAATGTACAACAACTCTTAAAGCTCAAAATAACAAATAATCCAATTTTAAAATAGGCAAAAGATCTTAACAGACACTTCACTAAAGAAGATATACAGAAGGTAAATAGACACATGAAAAGATTCTCAACATCATACTTCATTAGATAATTGCAACATTAACTATATTGAGATATTACTTCATACCTATTAGATAGCTAAAATCCAAAACACTGACAACACCAAATGCTGACAAGGATACAGAGCAGCAGGAACTCCCATTCATTGCTGGTGGGAATGTAAAATGGTACAGCCACTTTGGAATACAATTTGGTAGTTTCTTGCAAAGCTAAACATAGGCTTACCATACAATCCAGCAATTGTGCTCCTAGGTATCAACCCAAATGAGACAAAAACTATGTCCACAAAAAAACCTGCACACAAATGTTTATAGAAGCTTTATTGATAATTGCCAAAAATTGGAAACGTCCAAGATGTCCTTCAATAGGTGAATGGATAATGTAGTACATTCATACAATGGAATACTATTTAGCAATAAAAACAAATTTTTAAAAATGAGCCGTCAAGCCACAGAAAGACATGGAGGAACCTCAAATACATATTGCTAAGTGAAAGAGGCCAGTCTGAAAAGGCTACATACTGTATGATTCCAACTATGTGACATTCTGGGAAAGGCCAAGATGATAATAATAGTGGAAAGCAGGGGCGGAAGGTAGGGAGGTAGGATATACAGGAACTCTTTGTACTTTCTGCACAATTTTTCTGTAAACGTGAAAGTGCTCTTAAAAAATTAAGGGTATTTAGGGACTTTACTGGCAGTCCAGTGGTTAAGACTTTGCCTTCCAATGCAGGGGGTGAGGGTTCGATCCCTGGTCAGGGAGCTAAGATCCCACATGCCTTGTGGCCAATAAATCCAAAACATTAAAAAAAAACAACAACAGAATATTGTAACAAATTCAATAAAGACTTTAAAAATGGTCCACTTCCAAAACAATCTTAAAAAAAAGAAATTAAGTGTAGTTAAAAACAGATCAGGGCTTCCCTGGTGGTGCAGTGCTTGAGAGTCCGCCTGCCGATGCAGGGGACACAGGTTCGTGCCCCGGTCCGGGAAGATCCCACATGCCACAGAGCGGCTGGGCCGATGAGCCATGGCCGCTGATCCTGCACGTCCGGAGCCTGTGCTCCGCAACGGGAGAGACCACAACAGTGAGAGGCCCGACAAACGCAAAAAAAAAAAAAAAAAACAAAAAACAGATCAATCTCCACCATGTGAGGACACGGGGAGAAGGCAGCCACCTGCAAGCCAGGAAAAGAGCTCT